ACACCCAGTGATCTGGGCTAGGGAGAAGATTTCAATGTGTGGCCCCAGTCACTGGAGGCATCTGGTGGTTCACTGCAAACCTGTGCCCGCACAGTGCCCGAAATCTGCTGGTAGATCCCGGCAGCAACAGAGAAGACAATTAACTGATTTCAGGTTTGCTTTCACAACACTCCACCCCAAATCCGTTTATATTAGTCGGGATTGGGAGCATGTTTACACATTCCATCTTAGCAAGATGTCTCCTGTGGCAGCGAGATCCGCTAGCAGAGGAAGCAGAAGAGAGCAGCACTGGTCAGATGTATGCTGCTTTCCAAACAACCTCAGTTTTCCTTGGAAGCTGCAGACAGGTTAGGAGCACACGTTGGAGCACTTGGACTAGGAATTATTTGTACTGTTTAGTTATTTTTCTAATGTGATTTTTTTTTAAAATATACAATAGCAGCAAGGACATTCGTAGGGAAGAAAGGCTGAAGCAGGCTAAAGAGCATGGCTGTAACGAGTGAGATGATTTGCAGCTGTAAAACTCTCGCATACATCTAGCAAGGCAGCTGGATACCATGTGTCCATCACATCTCTGCCATCTCCACTGTCTAGTTACCATCTAGCAGACAGGAAAATTCACCTATTTCAGAGGACTGCCTGTAATTACCTTTTTTAATTATCCCCTGTGCTCCTGAGGATCTCGTGCTTGTGCTGTGGTGGATTTATTTTTACAAACAATTTGGGAGACAACCAATCAGCTGAATGAAAATGATGGGAAGACCCTAATGATTATGATGGGCTTCCGAAACGTATCTTTTAAAACTAGGTGGGTTTTTTTTTTTCCAGAAGATATTTGGTGGGCTGAATTAGAGCAAACTGACTATTTTCTATTTGCTCTTTTTTATTCTTTTTGTATGGCACAAAAAGCCAAGCACAATCCAAAGGTAAGCACGACCTCTGCTCTCAAACGGGCCTCAGTGTTCTTCTCCTCACAGTTGCTCTCTGGCAGAGAGGTATTGATTTACTGAAGGGAGGTGCAGGGACTGTATGGCAGTTTGGGACCCTTTCAGTAATCAAGACTCTTGGTTTACTTTACTTTCTTGCTTATTTTTTCTGCACAAAACCCCGATGGAGTCGAGCAGTGTAAATCTGAGAAACTATCTTGGGTTTAGGCCAGACGAGATATTTTCAGTCTCTGTTCATCCTTGGATAAAAACCAGTGCAAGCAAGCTAAAAAAGCCAAATATGTCCAAATTCTCAGTAAGCTTTGAGGGAACATCCATAAAATAAGTACTGGCAGGTGGCATTATGAAGTGCTCAAAACAAATGCTTGAGAACATTGTTGTTGAAAACCAGCCAACACAAGTATCTTCCCCTTTGTAGAGGCTGAGCCAGCTCCTCCTGAGCACCCTGTCTCAGATGGCCACTGCATTTTGCTCCATCACCTGGCAAGTAGTGGCATTTCCTGGTGTCTACTTTCACGTGGAGTTTGGTTCTCCAGGAGAACGTTTTGGAAAAGTTATGAGTTTATTCTAAGAGCTGGCAGGAGATAGGGGCAAAGTGTTGCCATACTCTTTGAGTTTGGTGGAGGGAGGAGGTCTGGATGCAAGACTGCAGTGGCAGAAGTTGGAGGTCCCTGGCCAAAGCGCAGGTGGGTTTGGCAGGGTTGAGATTTGGAGAGTGCCGCGGAAGTAGGGTGCATACACCACGAGCAAAGCGCAGCTCATGGCAGGTGGGTGGCACCACCCAGGTGCTGCGTGTCCCTCCATGTGCCCAGGACTTACCCCCGGCCATCCAAACGGCAGGAATTTCCCTTCAGACCAGTTGTCACCTTTGACGTAGAAGAGACCAGCAATCATGATGAAGATCCAGACCGCCAGGTTAATGACGTTGAGCACGTTGTTCAACCCCACGGAGTTCTTCACCCCCATGGCCACGATGATGGTGACAATGACAGCAATGACCAGAGCAAGCAGGTCAGGGTATGACTCCTCTCCTTTCCCTGGTAAGAGAAAAGAGGTCTGTAACCCTCCATCCATAGCTGTGGATAGCATCTACAGAAACTCTGTGGGGGCTTTTAAGAAGGCTTTTCAGACCCTGAAGCTTTGCAGAACTCCTTGATCTCATTGCAAAGGTGGTCTCCAGATGCCCCTGTCTCCGCTAGCTAAAGCTGTTTGATTAATCTTGATGCCTCAGGACACTGTTGGGAGGGCAGCAAACAAATGATCAGGCCCCAGTTTGCATAACATGTATCTGCCAAGTACTAATTAAAAATCAACCAAACATAAAGTTTTCATGACACAGGTATGGGACAGGGAGCTGTTTTACTTACTGGTAGGAACCATGTACTATTGCTGGAACTGCTGGTCATACACGACCACCATAGCCCTGGGTTTCTATGAGGCAGTTCTGCAGACACTAGCTTGTACTCACTAACAAGGAGCTCAAAGTATCGTGCATCCCATCCCCCCGAATCCCGCCTGCGAACCAGATTGAAAAGGCAAAGTACCAGAAGCAGACGGATGGTAAATAATGAATGAAGCCTAATATCCATGTCTGACTTCTGACGAGCTTCCAATTACTTTTCAGGCCCTAATTAGCTACGCACGGCGTGACACACCTAACCCGTTCAGCGTCCCAACGCTGTTGATCATCCAGCGGCTGATGGTGTGGTTGGCCAGCGAGTCAAACATGCTGCTGAGCGCACTGGCGCCCGCCGCCGTGCCGATCAGGTACTCCAGGATGAGGTTCCAGCCGATGAAGAACGCCACGAATTCTCCCACCGTCACGTAGCTGTAGGTGTAGGCAGAGCCCGTGGTCTTGGGGACCCGCACGCCAAACTCAGCGTAGCAAACGCCTGTTCAGAAAAATATGAAGCAACACAAGGAAAACGTGCTTGGAGAAGGAAAAAGTAAAACTACCTTGGTCCCACCTGCCTGGAGGTGCCAGGAGCTGTAGTCAACATCAGGAGGAGCCCAGAGACATTGCAGAGGGCCGTGGTGATCCTCCTTTCCCAAGCGCTTGGCTTCAAAAGCAGCCCATTTTCCTGTTAAAATCAAGCTGTGATGGATTTGTTTTGAGGATACACAGTTCAAACTACCCGAATCTTTAAGCCTTTTGTAGAAGAGCCTTCTCACAGGTGTGTGCCCCTGATGTGGGACCTTGCAGCATGGCCAGCTGCAGCCCCTCCAGAGACACAACTGAAGCTGGAGGGAAACCCAGGCCCACGGAGCAGAACTGGGCAGTGCTGGTGGTGTGGTCCTTGGAGCTCTGTCTCCCTGCAGTAGCTTTGATGGTGACAGATACTTCTTCTCCATCCAACAGTGACAACACGATACGATTTTTTAAGAATGTTTCTCTCAAATGTTTTATTTGCAGCATCAATATATTGACAAGCTGTCAGTGCTTTTGCCTGCAGAAAACATCACAGCCCTGGGAAAGGTGATCGCCATGAGACCTGCCAGAGGACAGCGTTTGGGCACAGGGAGGTCATGGATGGTTGTAGCCATTGCATGGTACCCTGGTCCAGTGCTGCCCAGCCTCGTCCTAGAGCAAGATGCCACAGGAGGGCTCACACAAGGCTACGCCTCTTCCTGCCCAACTGTGCAATCTCCAAAAGTTTATCTTAGGTTTTTGCCATGCAGATCCAGGCACGAGCACTGTCCTGATCATCCCTGCTCAAATCCCATACAAGAGGGGTTTGAAGACATCTTATGTAGACAACATAAGTTATTTTAACACTCAGAAATGTTACATATAAGTCTCAACCTGAAGAATACTTGCAAAACTAACTTTGTAGAAGGAGAAAAGAAAAGCAAAAACAAGTATTTAACTGAAACTGTTTGGGAGAAGACTTCTGTGGACTTTAATTTCCAAACTCCTTGTGTACTTACTACGTCAGGATACTTTTGAATAAAAACCTGATCCTGACACATTGCTGTCTTAAAGCAGCCATTAGCTTTTAGGTAAAAGGAATGGATGGATTTGGTCACAAATTCCCCAGATATCAGTCAGAACAAGTGCTGGAAGGCCAAGCTGCATCCTACATGTTTAACACTGGTGAAGGCCCTGCCCCAAGGACTCCAGCTCAGCTTGTACGGGTTAACGGGTTAGGGTTATTATCACCACTGTGTAAACATGTAGTAACTGTTGAGTTCTTTATCAACTACTTGTCTCTATTTAGAAGATAGTAATTGCCTTCAAAATTGCAATCAGTTCAGTGTAGAGAGAGGAATGTATAATTCACAAAAACATTATGAGGTCGCTGCTCTTACTGTAAGTGCAGTTTTCACCCAGTACAAACACAGAATTATTGAATCCCTAAGCTGAGTTTGGTGGTGCTGCTTTTCTTGGCATTGGAGGATTTTTGTATTCCGTTCACTGTTTGGCTTGCGTGCATGATGCTGGCAGTGTTTTTCAATAGGACTCTTCAAAACTTGATTTCTGTAAAGCAGACGCAACTGCAGGAGCAGCATGACACCCCCGTCACCCAGCCCTACAGACAGTCATTACTCAAAGCTGATGAAAAATGCATGCACTCGGCAAAGGTAAGACGTTCACAGATAACTACAGGCCTGAATGATTTATGAACCAGGTGCTCTGATGGGGACAAGTATCTAGTTTCTCTCTTCGATGGCCTTAAAAATCCCCGCACTTCCCTCACTGCTTAAAAAGGAAGATAATATCATAATTTATTAGGGTGCAGAATTTATCTGGGTGCAGATAATATCATAGTGTATTAGGGTGCAGATTTTATCTCACTAATCTCTGCTGCATCAGTAGTGTGTTATTGTTATTGTTGTTGTTGTTGTTGTTGTTGTTGTTGTTGTTGTTATTATTATTATTATTATTATTATTATTATACAACTGCATATTAAAGCTGTGTTACTCAGTTGGTCCTCAGCAGCCCCAGCTATTCGGCACCTCACACCCCGGTACCCGGTGAGATGCAGCTCTCCCGCTGCCCTGCGCAGCCAGCCCAGCTCCAGGAGCGCAGGCAGAGGCTGGGCACATTCTCCGCACCATGACTCTTTGAATTTGGAGACAGATGTGGTTTTTTTCTCCCCAATCAAGAGTGATTGCAAGTTTCTGCAGAAAACAAACCAACACAGTGGTTGTTTGGAAGAATAGTCTTTTTACAGAAAACTATTTCTTTTTCCTTGAGTATCAGCTACATGGTGTAATTGGCATGGCAGTCATTACACTGGTGTAATTATCCAGTCATTGACATTATTCAGAAGGACACAAACACAGCTGAGTGGTTTGGTCCATGACATCGTCCCTTCCAAGATCCCATCTACAAAACCCCATTTTTCAGATTTAGTTGACCTCTCCGTTCTCATTTGGGGTAGGAGGCGAGGCGCCCAGCAGCCTTCCATACAGTGCATGTATACAGGTTAGATGGTTTTGTCTTAGCGGTGGCTTGAGGTCACACTGGGCATCCTGACCTGCCCGCTGGGGACTTCTGCTGGTGAGCGGTGCCTCGGCGGGGCAGGAGGAGGGACCACGAAGTCCCTGCTGGCTTCAACCTTGAACTCCAGCACAGCAACAGCCGCTGGGCAGCACAACTGGTGGCACAAGGAACTGGTGTCAACCCCTCAGCAAAGTGCATCCTCTTGGCTGCTGTCTTGCTTTTGCTGTGCTGGGGCAGAGGTGGTCGTGGTGTGGATGCCAATCGTCCCACTGCCGCCTGGCACGAGATTATACAGGGAATGTGAGGCATCCCACACAGTACTGGCACGATGGGAGTGATGTTTCAGGTGAAACAAGCCTTTGAGGTGGGACCTTTCAGCAGCACTGGAGGTAACACCAAGAAATTCAGAGGGAATCATTCTTCATTAACCAAAAGCAGCCAATTTATCAAGGCAAGCATATGGCAAAATCCTATTTTCAGCAAGCCACTGAGCCTGTCCATTGTGTTTCACAGTCACCGTGTGCAGATATATAAAAGGCAGCTCCATAAAGAAAGCTTCCTTAGGAAAAGGACTCCCATCTCTCCAGTGCTGCCCAAACAGCTCATGATCAGCTGCAGCTGGAGCTGGAACCCCTCATCCTGGCCCTTGTCCTGCAGCCAGGCAGCACCTGTGGCACATGCTCAGCTCTCCCCTGCTCCGTCGTGTGCCTGGCTGTTGTTGAGCCTGCTCCTGCATGGGTACCAGGTAAGAGCATGGCAATGTGCTCCAAAACTGCATGGCTTGGTGCTTGAAATCCCCAACAAGGGTGGCTGGGGTTGGAGAGCAGTTCCCATGGGAGAGAGAGTCTTTTCTTTCATTGCACAACAGAGGAGACTGTCCCACACTGATATTCATCATGGGGGAGGACCTGACCCTTGCCTGAACTCACAATAAGGGGTTTGCACGATGCAATCAACCAGGCTGTTACTTTGGGAAAGGAGATTCCCCAAAGGGACAAGCAACGGCTGGTGGAAAAGGCTGTAGACAGGGTGATGGGGTTGGGGAAGATGCAAACTGCTGATTTTTGCCAAGAAGGGGTTTTGGTTAGACATGGGGGTGAGAGCGGGGAAACCTGGGTTGCAGCTGATGGAGGGAGCCTGTGGGGTCCCTGCGCTGGAGGCTTTGTGGAGGGAAGCTGGGCAAGTGTTTCTGTTTGAGAGCTGAATAAAAGGCCTTCCAGTGAGAGAAGAAAGGAGATTGACTTAATTGAATTGATCAGTTTAATCAATTATTGTATGTCTGTAAGCACCCTGATGGGCCACATGTTGCCTAAACCTAGGGGAAGGCATAACTGGAATTTGTTGAGTAGATGAAATCAGAAAAATCCCTATCTGAAACCGGGCTAAACAGCACAGAGGGATTTCCCACCAGCAGGACCTGCCTGGTAGGGCTTCCCCGTGGCTGTCTCCCAGCGGAGCTGAATGGCTTTCTGGAAGGGGCTTTTTTAGCCAGAACCCTCCTGGGCTTGCTTTGCAGGCAGAGGGATCTGACTCGGTGATCTGTGACACACCAAGAGAGAGTGGTGATCTAGTGGTCCATCTGGCCTTAAAACTGTGAAAAGCTCCTTAAAGTCCAGCCATGCACACCTGCCCGAGCTCAGTGCCCGACACACTGCGAGCAACTGTGATGCCAGAGCTGAAATCATGTCTCCGATGAGCCGGTCTGGCTCCCCAACCCTCGCTTGGTTTTACTTGCCAAAACCGTGTTGCTGTTATAAACAACAGCAGCGTCAATGATGAAGGGAGGAAGCGGCCAAGGAGACTATCAAAACACTGCATCCTTCCCAAAACACTTTCCCAGGGCTGCAAAAGCAAGGGGAGATGAAAGCTGAGCAGGAAGCAGTGCAGGCTCCCATGGGCAAAGGTGGGAGGAGCTCCCTGCTGTGGGGCAGGGCTCGTGTCTGGGGTGAAAAAAGCCCCTTTTGGAGAACAGTGTGTTTTTGTTAGATGAGACCCACCCAAGCTCCGTTTGCTTTTGGTTTGCATCATGGCCAGGAAAACCCTCGCAGAGGAGAGAAAGCAGGCAGTGGGAAAGGATCAAGACATTGATGCTGCCTACCACTCTGAGGGTGGTGAGGCACTGGAACAGGTTGCCCAGAGAAGCTGTGGATGCCCCATCCCTGGAAGTGCTCAAGGCCAGGTTGGATGAGGCTTTGAGCAACCTGGTGTAGTGGAGGGTGTCCCTGCCCATGGCAGGGGGGTTGCAACTAGATGATCTTTGAGGACCCTTCCAAGCCAAACCATTCTATGATTTGTTGTGTTGGGATCTCAAACAAGCATCAGATCTCATTGCATGCTCTCAGCTCTTGTTCTGGGCTGAACCAGTGGTAAATGTGTCCAAGCTGCCTTGTCACTGGGGAGTGAGAGAGGCAGGACAG